ACTCTCCATCTCTCTCATTTTTTACTAGTCTTACGTTATCAGTTCAAATTGTTTATCATTTTTCCATTTGATTCTAAACTATGAACGAAATCAGGCCAGTTCCAAATTTCATAGTACCTCTTATTACTTTAGTTCAAATTTCAGGTTCCGTTTTTTCCTATTTGGGTTTAAGGAAAAATTCACAAAATTTTATTACAGCTTTTCCCAAAATAATAAATTTATTGACAACAACTGGCACTGGTAAACTCTTTTTATCAGATGCTGTTCTCTTCACAGGCTAAAGTCCATGTTTTTCCTCCATTAAGTTTGTTTTTCAAGTTTCTTGTTTTCTTCACCTAATTCAGAAGCCTAGTTTAAATGCATAAATGCTCGTAGCGTACTATTATGATTTTCTTGCTTTGTGATGATTTTACTGCGTATGTCATATTAATTGAAACTGCCGGTGATCGTTATGTTCAGGAAAAAGAATAGCAAAACATAGGGCTCAGGCACCTAACTGTTTTGGATACATTCTGAATGAAATAGAATTGAATTTCCTGGAAAAGCCGTTCTGCTAATTATTATCTTTTTTTGCTTATTAAAGTTTATAACGGTGCGCATTTTCCTGTTGCTGCTATTTTCGAGTTAGGGACTTAAATCCCAGATAGTGCTGCTGCTTCTCTTTTTCCTGTGTTTATGCCGTAAGCTAAAGTTTACCGACTGATTTCCTTTCCTCTCTGTAGTTTTCAAACACAGGTGAAGGGAAGAACGATATATTTTACAGTGGTTTATTATTTTCAAAGGGAAAAAACTGTCGCCAAACTGAAAAGAAACGCGACAAAAGGAAGCAAGTAGCCAAGCTAGCTTCTGCTCACTGATGATACAAGCAGCAGCATCATCGTATTTGACTTTCCCCACTTTTCGCAAATATGTAATATTTCTTTTTTTGAACAAACTGACTGACTGTTGTGGCTTGCAAATACATACATATAATTCCCTCAAGTACTGTTTGCTGACAGCCGACACAGACAGTTTCGTTGCATCGGAAGTACTCACTGTAACGAGGGATTCTGAGATAACGGGCAAAGGACTACCACTCAGGTCATTTCCAGGCATTTCTGCCTTTCATGTGGGATGCCCGTTCGACACATTTGTTTGAGCAAATATTTGAAAACTGCTGTGGATGGTCTCCGTTCGTGCAAACCAATCCGAATTAATCGGATCCGGGCGCATACGCTGGATTTCGCCGTAACTCAGTTTTTCGCTTATGTGAAATTGTATAAAAAAAGGACGGGTCCGGCGATTTGTCGTAGTTCGTCTTAGGAAATGAGATGATTTTAAATAGGCCGCGGGTCTGGAAGCTCCCATCTGTTCAAGTTTCTGCTGCAGAGCTGATCTTGAGGTAAGTGAGGTAATTTTTATGCTTAGGTTTGCAAGTTACGCGCTGTTGCTCACCCTGCTTATAATCATCTCAAAATGAACGTCTGCTCGGTGGGTGAGATGGCACGTGTAATATTGGACGATCGGTGAATACTGATTAGCGGCATGTGGTGTAGAATTGCAGATCCTAACGTAGCTGTTCGCGGATTGTGAGTTAGATCTCGTGCTGCGTAGCGGGTATGTTCTGGAACAAACGATCTCATATAAAACTGGTTCTTTAGTAGCTGGTAATTCATGTGAGAGTGAATAGACGAGTTGCACTTGGTTGGGCTTGTGGTATCTTGCTTCGCGGAGAAGCACTTCATGAACATTACTTTCACTGTTTTCTAATTGGGAGAATTTTTTTTCTGGAAAAACTTCATATCATGCGATTTGCAGTGAACGGATTGTTGTGCTACTGGAAAAAGTCGTGGGATATTCGCGCAGGCTGTAATAATATTGGACGTAGGATGAGCAGCGGCAATATTCCGTTGGAAGGTCGTACACGATTGCCTGGCAAAGTACAAGACTGCATTCAGGATTGTGGATTAATTGTTGCGCACATACAGTCGGCGTCACATTCAAACGAAGTTGGTTCTTGCTAAATTCTTTTGTTCAGCATTTTTTCCGACGAAGCTGGGTTAGGGTGGGGGCGAAAAGTCATGCGAGAAAGGTAAAACCAGAATTCAACAAACGTTAAATTACGTCTAAAAAGGAAAAAAGTGTCTGATTTTAAAAAATAAATCCGGAAATAACTAAAAGGCTCTTCCGTTCTACGTTTTTCGGAAGTTTGATACTGATTATAAAGAATTTTATTTCACCCTATCTGAGTAGAATATGTCGGTAGTAGTCAGTAAACATACTTTTGAAAAGTAAATCTTTTAGGCCTCTCGTGTGCAGAAATGTAGAAACAAATTTATTATATAGAACTGGGCCGCTCAGAGGGCGCCTGAGAATGCAGCTGTAATATGGTACTTTACTCAGGTGATGCTGGTAGCACGAGCGGAATAATATTTTTCTCTCTTTTAAATCATATCGCTGTTGCGCAGCTGATTCCACTTTCTGGACGCTGACGCACAGTCAGTGAATTCAAAGTTTTTGAGATCTCAAATTTGGGTTTTTAAAACATAAGAAATAATAAAATACAATAAAATCTACAACCCATATGCGCCTGATGCACCCTCACGTGAAACCTCCTCGCTCCTAATCTTATCATAAAAATACCCTGTACAAAGGCCAAGACAAAAGGGGAAATTGAAAGGAAATTAGGAGGAATCTGAGGGCGAAAGGAGAGGGGCAGGGAAACAAAGAGGTGTAACGGAGAAAG